ATACCACAGATCACAAACCATCACACGCAAAAGTGTCACACAACGATGCTGATCTGAGCGTTGGAGTGGCGTTCACATTGCCATTGTGTAGCATTGATCTGCGTACCGCAATGTTGTAAGCTTCGCTATGCATTGGGGTGGTTTTGGTGTGGTTTTTTTCCTCCGATTTGTTGCTTAACCAATGTTTTGGGGTGATTTTTATTGGTTATTATTGGTGTTATGCAAGTAGTGGTACATATAGTAGTGGTGGGTGGTAGTAATGGCAATGGTCAAGATTTTGGGGATTTTTTTGGTGGTCGTGGTGTTTGTGATATGGTTGAGATGGAGATGGATGAGATTGTTGGTATAGGCATCAACGGCGACTGTGGTTGTGGTGTTGTAGAGATGGGTTTTGGGTTGAATTTGTATAAAGAGAGTTTGTGACCAATTATTTAGATGATTGTGACCAATAAAATAGATAATTTGTAACCAATAATATGTGATCTTAAAAAATGTGAGATTGCAACTAAACTTGTAATTGTGACTCACAATTTGTTTACAGATCACAAGTCACACTCACAGGTCATAATTTATAAGTTAAAGATCAGATGTCACATATTTTTGTGCATTAAAAAAATGTCACAGATTCAAGTTCACATGTTACAGTTCATATGTTATAGGCTACTGGTCATATCACATAGGTAATAGATTAATGTCCACGGATCTAAGAAAACTACGAATAGGTCATTAGATCAATATCACATGCAAAAGGTTACATGTCACATATAATAGTTCACAAATCACATATAGGGCATGTTCGGTAGTGATTATGAAAATCAATTTTTTGACTATTAGAGAGAAAATGTGAGTCCTACCTATGAGTGAATAAGTTAAAAATGACGGCTGATTTAGGGAAGTAACGGTCAAAAAATTATTTTTTAGGTGAAAAATCAGAACCAAACAATGGCATAATAGTTCATAGATCACAAGTCCAAGAAAATTGGTCACATGCCATTATATCAATACACATCACAAATCACGTGAAAATTCACAATCACATATCATAGTACATAGGTCATAAATCCATTTTAATAGGTCACATATTACAGAGAATTGGTCACAAGCCATTAGATAAATATCACTAGTAACAATGGATCTTTTCAATTTCCATCACAACAACTCACAGCTTACAAGCTAATGGAGCTTTTCAAGATCACGGTTTACATGCCAATGGATCTTTCAATTTTCGTCATAGCAACTCATGATTAGAGTTTCAACTATGTTTCATCTATTCGAAGATAGAAAGATCCAACAAAGGTACAATGTTATTCGCCATCAATGGTGATTTCGAAACAATTCAAATTTACTTTGGATGATCACCAAGCTCAATCTCTACTTCTATTATTACCTCTGTTTGTGATTGTTGCCTTTGATGAGCCAGATTTTGACGATGAGAATTGAGATTATATGCTACGAATAGTTTTCCGTAGCTTTTCTCTTTTGTTGATCTTTACAATTTGTTAAATTGGAGAGTTGTTTCAAATGGAAAACATGTCGTACCGGAAATTGAAATCGTACATGGTAAACATAGTGGAAATTATAGAATACCCTAGAGTTAAAATCTAGGATTCTTAAATCAGGTGGGATGTTTGTCTTTTCAAAAATCAGAGAGTTGACAAATTAGATATATTAGATATATTATATTTTTAATATATACTTTAACAACTGTATATCCCGTGATTTAAGACTTTTAATTTTAGAAAACTCCATAACTTCCTTGTATTTCAAAACCTCCCCCACGTTTCTTCTTCATAAATCTCCCCACGTCTCTTCTTCGCAAACCGACGATCGCAAGGAGCTTTTCGTCGATGTCATTATGCCTCCGATGAAATCCCACCCACAACCAACACCCACATTATTCCAGAAACTGCATAACCACCAATCTATAAATATTATCATTATGTGAAGGGAAGAACTCAGAACCCAGAGCATAAATGACTCGTTTAAGGAGCGAACACCGAGAGAGGAACGTAGCAAATGCCTCAGGTAGAAGAGGTAAGAGAAAGGTGGATGAAACACAAAGTATCCCCATCTAAAACGCCCAAATCCACGGGGGCAGACTCGAAATATTCCACGAAGAAAGTATTTCCATTTGTTCAGTTTTGTAATTCAATTGAATCATACGTACGAGCCCTAAAATTGATGGGTGATGAGTATTTGATTATGTTTTCTCCAATTTGTGAAATATGCTCTATTCAATTTTTGAGATTTTGAGTTGAATGCTTCAATCTGTTGGTTAAAAGTTATTTAATATGTGAAGTTTGGGCTTCTATTGGATTTTGTGGGAGGTTTGTTGAATGGAATTCATGGATGGGTTTCGAAGTTATGAAAACTCTTATTTGGGTTTTTAGTGGCTGTATTTTTCATATGATGCGTAGATTGATTTTACATTTCTTAAACTAATGACCTAAATAGCATGTTTGACCATTGAATTAGTACTGTCTTTGTTCGATTTACAAATTACTAATGACCTAAATAGCATGTTTGTAACATGCCAACCTATCCGTGACCAAATCCTTTATTTCTTCTGTGACCATTATGCATCTTTAAAGGATGTGACCTCTGTAATACGTAATTTAATTTTGTATGATTCATGTAGTAATAATGTACTCATATTTGTGACCTGTCAATCCATATGTGACCAACCCCGTTCTTTCTTATGTGACTAATATGCATCTTTGGAGCTTGTGACCTATAAATAGGGGCTTTGTTTTTGTCTTAATTCTGAATTAGTAGTGTAATCAATTATGCCGTTGTGATTTGTCTATACATATGTGACAATTTTTACTTCTTTTTTGACCAATATGCAGGTATGGAAGTATATTGTACCGAACAAGATGTTTTTTTTCCAGGCTTGACTGTGGCATTTACGTGATTAAATATGTCAAGTACATGCTACACAACGATATAAGCTCCATGTCCATTAATTTTGAAGTAGGTAGAGCGTGATTGGATATAGCATTGTTGTTATTTAAACACCGAAAAATCAAAAAGGCAACGAAAAAGTGCAACAATCTGGGAAAGAGAGTATCATCATAGAGTGATTGTATATTGCAGCCTGCATATAATTCTGAAGTTGTAATAGATGGAATCTGGAATCTTTTTGGATACTAGTTTGTAATAACTTCGTATCTTTCATTTTGGAATTTAAATAGTTTGCATTCATGGGATTGCTCGAGTATTTACTTTATATTGCTTCGAAGTCAATTATTGTGTTTCATAGTACAAATATATCAAATATTACAAAGTTGTGATCGGTTACATCAGTTTTATACAGGTCACATATGCTTGTATATAGGTCACATATCAGTTTTATACGAGTCACAGGTGTGTTTTTACAAAACAGAGGTTAAGAACCCACAGTCACAGTACATCTCACAGACTTTAAAGTGGTTACACCACAGGTTACAGAGACTTTTGCACCAGTCACAAATTAGTTTGTAGAAAAGTTACGGGCTATTGTACAGGTCACATATGCTTGTGCAACAGTTACATGTCACAGGTAGATTTTTAGATGTGGCACATTACCGACACATATCACAAATAGCATAGGTCACAGATTCTTTTTTAAAAAGTCACAGGTTACTGTATACTGTAACAGCGCAGCTCACAGATGACTGTATAATGGTCACATATTCATTTTACGCAGGTCACAAATGTTTGTGAAATGATCACAACATGTCGCAAACAGATTTTCACATTTGACACACTAGTGCATGGGTCACATATTCGTTTTAGACAATCACAGGTTATTGTATAGGTCACATGTGCTTGTGTTATGAAAAAACCACATTATACCAAGGTAACAAAGGTCACATGTTACGATTTCATTTGAAAAAGCTACAGGTTAACATTCATAGGCAGATCACAAGTCACAGATGACTTTAATGTGATCATAACAAAGGTCACATACAAATTTTCACATTTGACACAATATACCAACATTTCAGAAATAGATGCACAAGTCACATGTTCATTTTAGAAAGTCACGGGTTAATATAGAGGTCATGCACAGGTTACATGTTCATTTTAGAAATCATAGGTTATTGTACAGGTAACAGATGCTTGTATAATGGTTACAATACATGTCACAAACAAATTTTCAGATTTGACAAATTATACCAACATGTAACAGACAGCACGGGTCACAGTTTTGTTTTAAAAAAGACATAGGTTAATTTTCACAATCATAGATGAGTTTACTATGATCACTACACAGTTCTTTACATTTCAAATGTATATGAATAATGAATAAAAAAATGAACAAATAATGGCATTATTCATTAAAATAGTGAATTCAACGTCGAATCATTTACAATTCTCATTGAATTCAGAAACTGAACGTGATTACGTGATTTTTAGTGTTCCGATTACGTAAGTTCAGAAATTGAACTTCGAATCATGGGATTCATTGAATAACAATTACATACCCAATTAAAATCAAATTTCGAATTTCAATAAAGATTGATGCAGTCGAATCTGTTTCATGAATTAACCTATTGTTCTGATATAATGCGACGGTAATATTTGAATTGTGACCTGAATTGTGTGATTATTCTCACTTCAGAAAGTTCCGGCGACTGTAGTCTGCAAATTCAGATTCCCATGGCTTATGAAGATGAATTAGGGATGTGATTTTGTTATTTTAGGTAGGTGAATTTGTTATTTTAGAGAGTCCAGATATTGATGATAAGCTCCCTCTATTTTTCAGGAAGCTATATATATATATATATATATCTGATTTTAGAAACTTCAAACTTGATTCCTTATTTTTGAAATGGACTATACTTATACTATGGGTTATGAATTTTTCTCGTAAACATATTACAATGGCCCCTTGGGTCCAAGAAGACTGGGGATCCAATGAAGCCACAACTTAATAGGCCCAATTTCCACGCTCCACATACATGAAGCCCACTACTTGTAAATTCCTCTCTTTATTAACCTATAAACCCTAATCACCGAAAACCCCATATATTTCGTTCAATCTCGATACATCATCATTTGCTGTTGCAGTTTTGCAGGTATATAAACAGAGTCTAGAAATTTCCATCCTCCACAAATACTCGAACCAAAATAGCTCTGAGAAAGTAACACATCAGAAGTGTGAGAGATGGTGTGGTTTCAGTGCGAGGATTGTGGAGACAATCTAAAGAAACCCAAGCTCCCCAATCACTTTAGAATGTGCTCTGCTTCCAAGGTTCAGTTGGTCCATGTTACTTGAAATTATTTCTTTGCAATTAAATTCTTTTTGGGAAATCCTTATTCTTGTATTAATTTGGATAAGCCTCGTTTTGTTTTTAAATTTTGTACTAGTTATCGTGCATTGATTGTGGGCAAATATTTGGACAGCAAACCGTTGAAAGTCACACTCAGTGTATTAGTGAAGCGGTATTTTCGACCCCCTTTAGATTCTTGTTATAGTTTTGTTTTGTTTTGTTTTTGTATCCAATTTTTATTGTATTTGTTTATGGCATCTTCTTATGTAATGTGTATGACTTTTAAGATGATCTTTCTTAAAGTTTTCTAGGAAGCAAAGGTCGTTTAGAGTAAGTTGATGGCTTATCCAGGGATCACATAGAATATTTTAACTGCATTGATATACTGTGTTAGAAAGTAAACCATGCTAACTATATGTGACAGGGCCTTGCCAAGTGTACATCGAGACCCCCTCACAAGAGAGGGGTCCACGATTTTTTTATTGGTCGTGGGCCCCCCCTCTTGTGAGCGGGTCTGCAACCCCTGTATACAAATAGAAAAACTCATATGGGACATCCCAGTCATTTTTTCATCAACACCCTAGTGTACAAATAGAAAAACCCATATGTGACATCCCTTTCATTTTTTCTGCATTTGATGAATAGGATCTCTACCTTGTATATCTTTTAATTCTATTGGCTCGTTTCATAGTGAAATATTATGATGCATTAGCTATTGTAAGTGAAATGAATATGTTATTTGCACTAGGTATTATATGTGTTCAGGTTTAAAACAACGTGGTAACTAAAACTTCTTTTGCATTGGTAATTGAACTTAAACTTTGATATGATTGGGTCATTGATTTTGAATGTTTGCTACGACTTTGTCATTCTATCCATGTCTATTAGAAACTATTGGAAAAGCTAACATGGTAGTCTAGTTGGCACTTGGCAGCTTAGTTAACAAATAATCACATTGTCACGTCATCTTCCTAGTTAGTCAAACTAACATGGATGTAGTGACCAAATTGTATCAGAGTTCAGTGACTTGCTAGAAAACCAATATGAAATTACGATAAAAGTTCTATAACCACTGGTGTATTTAATCCTGTGTTTTCCTATGAGCTGCAATCAATTCTTTGTTTTCAGGAAAAATATGGTCCAAAAGGTCAGGGGAAATCTTTGAATGAAGTGAATGCAAAACCTAAAAATGATTCAAAGCCAAAACCAGATTTTGATGTAAATGTTGGGTTGTCCGAACGCTCTCCATGGTTCTGTAGGTATGTTCAAATTATATGCTTTCCGTCATGGGCATATTCTGATATGTCAAATAAAAATAAGAGTAGGGCAAAGAAAGATTGATTCTCAAACATCATCATGGATAGGTGGCCACCAATTCCCTTGTCCAGAACCAGCCATAGGGTGGTTGACCTCAATGACTTTTTTATATTAAAATGAATGTGATAACCTAACATAAATTCTAGTTTACAACTAGAAGCGTCCAATGTGGAAGGTGTCTTTGCTTGAGCACTCTTCAAAGTATTTTGAGATTTCAATATTGGTAGGGTATAACAATTACTGGTTGAAATTTGAATATTGATTGGATGGATTGCCACTACTAAGTGCTCTGCACTCATCTAGTCTGTTGGCATTTATCATTTACTTAATTTGATTCCCATCAATTACTCGTGCTCACTGGCGGGCCCAGGGGGTCTTTTTTTTGGGGGGGGGGGGGGGTCACATGACCCCCAACCTTTTTTTTGGGATAGAGTCCTATTTGGTATCGCTTGAAATCTAAATGGAAGTTAACAATTAATTTTAATAACATATTTCATGGAATCTTAATTTTTCAACTTTTATCAAAATTTACTAAAAATCTGATTTTAATCCCCGCCAAACAAGGGCAAATTCATAATAATTTTGAATTATTTTTCTTTTCTCTTGCTCTATCTTACTCTCTCCCTCATGCGTTTTACAAAAACCTTAACCCTTCCAATTTTTTAAAGTTTGTCTTTAATTTGTCTATAAATTATCATATTTAATACGAATTCACTTTCCAATCAAATTTTCAATTAATTAGAACCTAATTTTGCATTTTCTCATATCCTATTTATGTATATAGAATGTGTCTGAATTGATTATATCAAATTTAACTTATATTTAACGAGTTGTGTATTTGATTGACTATTAGCATGGAATATTGGTTATATTTTTTTTCCTTACGATTACTTGAATTGATTGTTTGTATCAAATGGGCTATAAATTTTTTAAACGTAAATATGCATTTTCTTGTGATGAGCAAAATATTAATAAAATGATTGTTCGAAATCAAATTGATGAAAGGGATAAACAAAATATTAATGAAGAAATGTTTTTTAAATATAAATTTGCATTTTCTTGGATCAAGTATGAATCATTTAAAAATCAAAAACAAAATATTCGATTTGTACAGATTTTGATTGCCCCCTAAGTCAAAATGTCTACGTCCGCCCTTGCTTGTGCTTGCAGAAATGCCTCATCTTTGGTGATTTAGTTGTATTTACTGTCTGGCTGGTTTATTGGTACTATTTATTTCCTGGTATCCATTAACAATTTATTTTTCTTGGGTCCATCTTCTTTCTTATGGGATTACTCTGCCTATACTAATGGAGCTATATATTTACAGCTTATGTAATACTAAGGCTACCAGTAGGCAAACCTTGCTTCTCCATGCAGAAGGAAAGAAACACGGGGCTAAAGCAAGAGCTTTCCATGCGGCAAAGCAGCAGCCTAAAGATGCAAAAGAAACCAAGGCTTCTGTTGAAAACAATGTCAGTAATGAAAATGCTGACATTAAAGATTTGGTGGAACCTAGAGAACCAAGTTCGTCTAAAGTTGCTACTGTGCATGATGGTACTGGAGTGGAAAATAGTTCTTTGCAGTCAAGTAAGAAGAGAAAACATGAGGCATCTGAAACTAATGGTGCTCAGAAGAAGGCTGGGTGTGTTATGCCTTCAGAATTAGGTAATGGTGAAGTTATTCAAGTTGAAAGAGCAGAGAAGAAAATAAAATGGAAAAAGCTTATAACAGCAGCTCTTAAATCTGTACGTATCCTTATCTCTTTTAACATCGTGTTTTTAAATTATCTTTGAACGTGTAATATTTCTTGTTTCTACCTCGTATACAACAGGAGATCTATTGTTTACATTTAGTAGGCTGATCGTGAAGAATCTATTGAATTTTGATATTATTTCTGTTGGATATGGGTCTAACTTGTATAAATTGTATTACGGGTGAAAAAGATAAGAATTTGTTTAACTCTGTTTTTGTGTTTCAGATAGGATGGGGCAGTTTCTGCTGCTGTAGATACGGAATTATTATGCATATATGATACACCATTTGATTGAGTAAAATTATGTCATTTCTTTGATGGAGCTTTCTGTGTATTGGGCTTTAATGTCTGAAGTGTAGAGAGGAGCATCTATATATGTATGCCATAAACTCTTCTCTTGAACAAATGCAGAATCCAGATGGCGCTCTGAAATTTAAAAAACTTAGGAAATTGGTCCTGAAGTCTCTCAGGGATTCTGGTTCCACAGACGACAAAACCCGCGTTTCTGAAATGCTTGAGCAGAAAGTGAGTTTAAGTTTTCTTTGCTAGAAACAAATTTAGCGGTTTTTATTCCTCCAAAATGTAACTAAATGTCATGTAGGTTGCTTTTGATTGGTATGATCTTTAATGAGTATATTTCCTTTGATTATCTGCAGGTCAATTCAAGCTCTAGATTCACTGTTGATGGGAAATACGTTCGTCTAGCAGCCAGCAGCTAAGGCTGGGCCTTACCTCCTGTAGAATAAGTTCTCACTGAAATTTGATTTATTGAAGTTCTCCCTTTTTGCTGCTGCTGCTGCTGCTGCTGATCATTGATCACTTATTAAATTGTGAGATACCATGTTATTAAATTGTTTTGACAAGATCACGAGTTTTCATCTGGTTTAATGCAAATATTGAGCAAAAACTTTCTCTGAGTTTTTTTTTTCCTTTTTTTTTTTTTAACAAGGTTAAAGTAATCATGTTGTTAGCCTACTAATAAATGGGGGAAAAAAGGAAAGAAAAAGTAGAGTGAATTTTTTTTTTTCCTTCGATAAAAGAAGACTTCATTAAGTATCCGTTATACAAGGGAAAATGTTAAGCCCTTGTTTGAGCTACATTATTTTTACAAAAATGTTTTGTTGAATGTTGTATTGATGAAAAATGTGATTAAAAATTAAGAAAAAGTTTTGAATTTGCGTGTAATATTATTTTATTGAAGTATGTATAATTGAAATAATATTAAATTACTGTTGAAAAATGTATTTTTCTAAAGAATGTGGTTCAAATAAGGCCTTAATAAAAATGTATTGCATATCCAATCTATGATAATAACTATCGACGCAATAAAATGAAAATCCCACAACGTTTTAGATGTTATTTAACGAAAAAAAAGAACATAATATATAACCCTAGAATTCTCTCTTTTTGATTCATATGTACACAATAATTCTCCCAGCACTTCTTTTATTTTTTCTCTTCTTCTTTCTCAACTTATATTTACTCAATAATTTTGTTTTCTTTAAAAAAAAAAAAAAAAGAACAAAGAAAAAAGTGTTTCATCAGTGTACAGGTAGCTCTTGTTTCTTGATCTGCTGGGGCTCATCCCTTGATTAACCTCTCTCGCGATGCTCTAGGGACGGAACGATGGAGGATCCTTAAGATTGAGGTTCAACCTTTGTTTCAATATCAAAGTTCCCAAGAGTGAATGCTAATGGTCTAATAATTCCTTTTGATTTCTCGCAAGGCATTTTCATTTTAGATAAAGTTTCAACGTAATTGGAAAAGAATATGAAACTCTCGTAGTTGGAGTCTGCCATCTTTGCTCTACATGAGAAACACTATAAGTAGAGACGGAGCCATGGGAGGCCTCGGAAGGGGCTAGAATTACAAAGTTTTTGTTGATTTTTTTCCTATTCATATTTGGCAATAAACAAGAGAAAAAAACTTCCACTCGTCATAGAGTTAAATCTTTTTGTAGTTTAGTTGGCAAAGTTCCTACTTTCTACCGCGAAGACGAAGTTTCGAATTCACCTGACCCAATCTTCTTTTCCATTTTTTTTTTCTTTTTCTTTTTTTTTTTTTAAATTTGTGCAATTAGTTACAATCTTTAGAACCTCTGAAAAAATTCGTCCCAACGAAATTCAAACTTTTTGATTCCCATCATTAAATTCTATTTGCATATTTTGTCCTTTTTAAATAATTTCATTAGCATTGTGTTAAATTTTTCTTGCATAAGATACATGATCTAATTTTTGGACGGGTAAAGTTGGGAAAATATGCTTGATACAACTTGATCTTTCGAAAATAAACATTTCATTCATTTTCAATAGTTTTACTGTTTAGTTCAAGGGCCTGTTTGGACTCAATTTTTTCACCAAAAAAGTTGATTTTTTGAACGTTATTTCACTATTCCAACTGTCATATTTGATTTATTCTCTCACATGTGGACCACACTTTTCTCCTAACGGTCAAAAAATCACTTCTTAAAATCACTCCCAAACAGACTCCAAATGTTACTCTCATTTCTCTGTACCAACTACCGCTATACTGTCGATCGCTGACTATCATAGCACTGTCAATCATTTTTTGGCCCCCCCCAAAGTAAAAATCCTAGCTCCACATCGACTATTGTAACGCCGTCTACCATTGTTGGCCCCCAAATAAAAAATTCTAGCACAGATTAAATTACTTCAGACGTCATCTTTAGAATCTAGGAGGGTGTGCTTAATTGAGATTGGGATGGACTTTAAAAATCTTTTTAAATTTAGGAGTTCTCATTTGAGATTTTAATGGATTTTAATGAAATCCATTAAAATTTAAATGTCCCCAATTAAAATTTTAATGAAATTCAATGAAACCCTTTAAAATTTAGATATTCTAAATAATTAGTTAATGTATAAAGATTTAATTAATAGAGGGAGCAAAAATTTTGGATGAGTTTCAAGCTTAAAAATACATATAAATAAATCTTTTGAAATTTCATCATATTTGATAAGATTTTTATGGAATTTGTAAAAATCTATTCAAATCCATGAAATTCATTAGGATTTATAATATTTTAAAATCCATCAAAATCTTAGTTGAGAACGCCTTCTAAATCTAATTCACTCTTACTATTGGTCTTCGAAAAATTTGCAGGCAAGGTTTTGAACCTTTTAAAACAATCGAGATCAGATTCACATCTTTAAATCATAGCAGATTCATCATATTCATTTCAAAAATGTGCGGTTGAAGGATATTTTAGATGGTTTCTGTCAAATCCATTAGTTGACCACTTCTAAATTTTAATGAATTAAAACGAGAAAAATTTGCATTGGACATTTTTCAAAACGTGGGGAGTTGTCTAAAACCTTTAATAAATGTACGTCAAAAAGACCTTTAACGATTTTCATCCAAAACCATATCAGCTGACCTTTCCAGTGAATGGGGTTGGATAGGTTAAGGATTAGGTTTTGAGGTTGAGTGGATTGGGACCTCCGGTGTAAAATTTCCTTGTGTAGGACCACGCTGTAAAATTTGAAATATCCTCTGCAAAATTTCCCTTAATTTTTACTTTATTAAAAATAATAATAATAATAATAATAATAATAATAATAATAATAATAATTAACTATCCGAACTTCCATTAATATTGCAGCAGAATAATTGGATCACTTTTATTTTTGACCTTTCAGGTAGATTTGCCTATTTCCCCCATATGGAATGCTGATCCCAATACCCGCATATCAAATGTCCCTCTCCCGGGTTGGAGACAGGCCCGACAGGGTCAGGGGCGGGGGCGCGATGTTGGAGGGGCGCCTGTCAGCCTGTTTTCCCCCCTTGTCCCCAACCCAGGATAGAGGGCTTTGTTCAAATTCATTTTCTGAAGAATAAGAAATGAAACCGTGCTAGCCTTACAGAACCAGGCTGCTGTTAGGCACACA